AAAATAAAGCAAAAATATTTAAAAAGTATGAAGTTTTGAAAAATTCTGAAGAGAAGCATGAATGTCCTTGAAGAGCTGAACATTTTAATAGCTGAAATAGCTGAAAGTATGAAGAAGTAAAAATTTCCCCATTCATTTGAAAAAGTATAAAAGTTACAAAAAGTTGTATGCATCCGCGCATGTCCTGAAAAAGCCGAACATTTTGATACCTGAATGGCTTTTCTAGCTGAAAGTATGCTGAAGTAGTTAAGTGCCAAAAAACGTACAGAATAATAATAATAATAATAATAATAATAATAAAGAAATAATTGGAAAACATAGTATTAAAGTTAACAAGTTAAAACAAGTTAATTAAACTGAAGTGGCAATATGTCCGCAACTGCTTCAAACATCCCTGCTGTACATGAATTACGTTGCTATTGTTATTAACTCCGGGGCAGTCTTCCTGGTGGGTGGTAACTTCCAAACATATTAGGATGATAAAATAATTCGATCTCAACTGTACAGGTGTATGTGTTATTTAAATTTTATTCTTGGTCAGTAGGATGGGGTCAATCGGCTTTCGCTTCGCTATTGAATGTTTTTATTTCAAGCCTGACTCCGCTTACCCGGACTAGGGTCGGTGTACGCCAGTAATAGTTACAAGTATATCCTACGGATCCAGTGCATCACAGAACTTCAGTAATAGACCAATGAAAATTAAGTTGTGGCCAGGGGCAGAGCTAATTGACAGAAGAAAGAGCCAATTAAACAACGCTTCTTCTAGACGTTTAACCAATCACCAAGCATATGCCAAAAATAACACCTACTCTTGTTCAGCACCCAAAGTCGAAGGATAGCTCTGGCCTTTCAATGGAAGAAAGTGCTAGATTTGTCAGTGTTGTATAATATCACCAAATCTCAGTGTCCATATTTGTTTTGGCACGATCGGAATTGTCTTCATTTAATGTGAGAGACAGACTTGGCGTCAAACATGCGTAAAAACCAACGCGATCCAAGCAGGGAACCACCGAGAAAGGAATTATCGCCGCTCATCTGAGGCCAATTTCGGTTATTTTTGTTAAATAAGGAAACATAAAATAGTTAGCTAGCTAACGTTAGCATCGTATATAGCCAGGTCAACGACATATCTTCACACAAAAGCAGAATCCAGCAGAAAATCAAGATTGGATCGACATTCGCACAGCAGCAGGAAAACGTAAGTTGCATACTAGTATGTACGCTAACGTCATTAGCTAGAGTTTGACAACCAGAAGAATTGCGCTGGCTCCAACGACAGCTAGCTGTTAACATTAGCATGCCAGCTAATGTTAGCTCATATCACCACACTAGCAAACTAGGCCTTTCCATGAGGGACCAGTGCAAAGAGGAATGGAGTTAAAGCATGTGGTCAGTGGATTGGTATTTAAAACAGAAACGCCTTTCCTAAAACAGTCATCATTATCATCATCATCATCATCATCCTTTATTAGCAGACTCAAGGTCCATACAAAAAAGAAATAAAGAAAAAAGAAAGGATATAAAAGAAGAGGGAAAAAATAAAAATCATAAAAGACATTTATACCAATGTTTCCACAGAGAGGATTGGTAACGTACTACACTAAAACCAGGATTAGCCAGCATCATTATAAGACTGTTCTCAGAGTTATTCACACGACAGATAAATCTGTACATCAGGTTTCTCATTAATGCCTGAAAGGTACTAACATGGACCTGTGAACACAACAGACTGGCGCTGGTGGACCTAGGCTTCTTAAGCAGAATCCTCAAGGCATCATTATAAGCAACTTTAAGTTTCTGTAAAGTAGCTACCTTATATTTACACCACAATGGGGCAGTATACAACGGTGTACAGTATGTTCTGAACAGATGAACTTTAACATTAGCAGAACACATGTGAAATTTCAGTGACAGCTCCGACCTCTGACATTTGGACCCTGTTTTTTTCATTTGACTTTTCAGCCTTGTAGACCTTGAACCTCACTGACTGCGCCCCCCCCCAGAGACTTATCGGCCATGAGAGGGAAATGACAATGATAAAAGACTTAATTACTATTCAGTCGTTTCATGCAACATAAACTGTGTTGTGCAATAACGTCAGCTTACAAACAGAGCATTGCCAAGATAAAAGCTGACCCTTCATCAGAAGTTTCAAAGTAACTTGGCTGCCGCCAACTTTAGCAAGCTGGTTCTGAATGAATCACATTTAAAGTAACACGGATGTTAACAGTCAAACGATACGTTGGCCTCCAGTGTTTAGTCTGGTCCCATGTGAGCTAAACTAGCATGGTATTGGTTATAACTAGCTAATGACAGCTTAGCGGACATTGTCACATGGGTATCGGATTAGCTACGTGATATTTTAACAGGCTATTGGTATTTCTAACGATATTAGCACGCAGTCACAGTTCTCGTTATATTCAATAAGAAGCTACAAAGCCTTAATAATGTCCAGATTTAACCGACAATGTGTCAAATGAAAATGTTTTTAGTGTGAGCTGGGGAGCTACTGTATGTTTTGTGTGTATGCAGCGACCTTAGAGGGCAATTATAACCGCAAGCAGCACTATGTACGTGTAGTGCAATTGTTGAAGTCGGTACACAAGACACCTAGATTAAGCAGATAACATTCAATGTTAGTCATTAGCTGGTAGAGTGTTTATATTCAGACGTGCTTCACTGCGGCAGCAGGAGCACAGCTCCTCCCAAAACTTCACAGACTCTACTGCTCATTATTTACCTAAAATACTTAATATGATTGATACCGCGTTTCTTTTAGGCTCAGTTGATAATATGGGTAAGAAAGGCTGTCAATGATCATATATTTCAGTTTCTCTCTCTCTTTCTGTGCTTTATGCCCAGCTTGACTGATGGTACAGCCAACTGCCATGTAAATGTATTCATTTGTAATATTTGTATTACATATTTTCCCGGTTTTATTATGTAGGGGCAGGTCCATAGGCACAGGGCAGCTGTGTAAAATGGGTTTGCCGTGACCATAAACATGGGCTTGGTTGGTAACATCTAACTTTGCTTTAGATATACAGCGGTGCAGACTTGTATGTGCACGTGTGATAAACCAAAACTCTGAGACTATTTTAAAATAGTTTTTGGCTCAGATAATAATAAAAATGGCCATTGAATTTGGGTTTTGAGCTTTTGATGTTGGAGAAGATTAGCTTTTTTTTTACCAGCCTTCAGATCAGTCAGCAGCTAGGTGCTGATTGATGCTACTAGCTACTTGAATTTGTTACTATTCTCTTCTTGGATACATATACAGATAAAATGTATTAGAAAATAGTTTTAATGGATCTGATGTGATCATTGCAGTATCTTACCCAGAGTAGTAATCAGAACTATCAATCATTCATTCTTTCATTCAGGTTTTTTTTTTTGTCAATATTGCATTATGAATTTCTGATGGTTTTCATCCAACCAGGGCTCTCCTCTAGGCTGTCAAAATGAAAAATTGATTTATCTCTTTATTAACCCTTAAAAATCAAGAATTTATTGTCAACTTTGGTATTTAACCATTTGAAATTACCCTGCTTTATTGGAGAGACTTCTCATCTAAACTGAGGCTTGTAGTAATTTCATCATTAATTCTGTATTGTGCAGTGTGGAAATTTAGCCTGGTGGCCAACCTACTCACCTTTTCCAGTATATCAGATTACGATAAAGTGCACAGGTGACCCGTATATGACATTGCTCTGTGTTGGGTTGTTGGGCTTGTTTTCTGCTAGCCACATACAGGAGGAATTTAGTGGCTGATGATCTTATCAGTCAGCAGTCACTGTGCAGATGAAAGACGGTGTCAATGCGAGACTTATTTTGGAGACTGACTGATCTGACTGCACACATAGGACTGTAGGTGTCACAAGGTGCTTTTTAAAGAAGTGTAAATCACATAGGTGCCCAAGCTGGATTTCAATTATTAAAGGGGAAGAATTTTTATGGTCTCCAAATTTTCTCTATGATGAGTGTAACTGCTTCACAGTTTTCTTTTTTTTTATTGCAGCTGAAGTATTTTCTCACTTAGATTATTCACCTAGGCCCAAGGTAGTTAATAGTTCATATGCCAAGTAGTGCAGTGTAGAGCTGTAATTCTTAGCCCGAACCTCGGGCTTAATTTCTATCACTTTTACTCAGGCCGGGCTCGGGCTCAGGCTCACGCGTTAAATGAGTGGTCACGTGATGCGTTTCAATTAGCGCGAGAAAGATGCATTGCGAAGAACAAAGATGGATGAGGTGAAACAAAGGCTTGCCTCTGGCGTATATTTTTTGGTTACACCAGCAGCAGCTAAGTCTGAGGTGTGGCAACATTTTGAACATGTGCATAAAGAGAACAATGACCCAGTGGGTTATGTAAAATGCAAGAAATGTAACGTTCTCTTAAAATACGACAGCAAAACGAGAGGGAATTCCTCGCTGAGAAGGCATGTTGAGCGATGCTGTGTGCGTGCGCCATGTGCACATTTGAATAATGTCGGGCTGTAAACGGGTTCGGGCTGTCAATCAAAAATGTACTTGTCGGGCTCGGGCCGGGCTTGGGCCGAATTCTGTCGGGCTCGGTCCCTGTCGGGCCTAACTTTTCGGGCCCAATTACAGCTCTAGTGCAGTGGTTGTGGGATGTTACAAGGGACTGTGACAATTGCAAATGCAGATCCCTGTGATTGCATAAAAAAAAGTAAACTTTTTACAGGAGATTTTAAGCATATGGTGGTGTGTTGCTTATTTTATGACAGTATTCCTAAAATTGGATAATTAAAAATCACAATATGTTTGTATACAGTATTGCAGTATATCAAATCATAACCCCTGTATCGTGATATGTATCATATCACCAGATTCTCACCAATACACAGCCCTAGATGAAATGTCCACAGAATGTAAGCTACTGCATATTTAGTACAGGAATGGCAAACATCACAGGTTACATCTTTTCAGACCTGAATACTTTCAGCTTTTTCAGCTGATCATAATGATAAACTCAGTATCTTTGGGTGCCCTGCGATGGATTGGCTACCTGTCCAGGGTGTACCCCGCCTTCGCCCGATTGCCAGCCGGGATTGGCTCCGGCCCCCAGTGACCCCGTTCAGGGACTAATCGGTAGAAAATGAGTGAGAGTGAGTGAGTATCTTTGGGTTGTGCACTGTTGGCTGGTGTTGATGTGAACATTTTAGCAAGCTGCTGTTAGAGCTGCAGTTGAGCCATGTTTTCTTGAATGGAGTGTCCGGATTCAGACAACACAAACTCTTACAGTTACAAACTGTATTTGATTGACTCTTAGGTGATTAATCAGATAGTTGATCCACAGAAAATTAATTTGGATAATCAAGTAATTGTTACAGTTGTTTAATCAACATAAATTGGAAATATTCTCCAGTTTCAGCTTTTCAATTACAAAGTTTTGCTGGTTTTGTGTTTTATTATTTTAAATGGAATATCTTTGGAGGTTTTGAAGGATTACTCAGACAAAACAAGACATATCAAAACACCAACTTAGACTCTCAAACCTTGTGATGGGCATTTTACATGATTTAAAAAAATAACATTGATTAGTGATAAAAATAATCATTAGTTGCAGCTCCTTTACGTGGTACCACTTCAGACTTTGAGACTCTCTTGAAGTCGTAAGTTTTGGGTTTGTGGGTTGTTGGTCTCCAACAACCAATACTCCACAAACCCATAAAAAATGTAGGCAACCAAAAACACTTAAGCTTTATGTTTTAGAGCAATTGCTGTCGTCTCGTAGTCAGGAAGTGAAAATCTTGAGTGTCATACAGTCAAAGGGGAAAAAAAATGCATGAAAGTAATTTGTACTAGAGTGATTTGCATTGACTAGCATGATTCACAGGTTGTATTGCCAACTTTGGTCACTCAGCAGCGGCATGAATGGGAGACGAAGATATGGAAGGTCAGTAAAGCATGGCGAATTGTTGTATGTTGGATCTGTGCATCTTTGTGTAATAAAATAAATGTAAACAGGGAGGCAAGACCATTCAGAGTTGGAGTAAATGTTAAAATTGGTTTCTACACACACCATTGTTTAACAGGGTTGTGTAAGATGAAAATACGTCAGGCTTGTGAACATATACAGTATTTAATAGTATAGATGTGGCTTTAGGAGTAATTACTGTTATACATCATGAGCTGTGTTCCAGTCCAGGGTTGTCTGCTTCAGAGTCAGTATTTCAAGACCGAATACACCATAACAGTTTGAAAAGGCTGTCCCATTCCAGAGGCTTCTGCCAACACGGCTAGGTAATGTGATCTGCAGTCTTCACTCACTATCCTACTTTTCACTCTGGCTTGGTGCAATCAGGTGGTCCTCCTGTAAAAATGGGGAACTTGGACATTATCATGTCATATTTGTCAGGTGTTGTCAGGTGTTTTCTTTCAGGTTGTCACGTGGGCTGGACCCACTACAAAAAGCCACAGCAAAGTGTGAATGAAGATGTAATCTTCACTGATTACTCTTGCAAGCTGTCTGGATATGTTGATGATCACTGGGTGCTACACAATAATGTGATGTTATATTGCTGTATAGTCACCACCTTTTGGCTGCTTGAGGGCTAAATCTGGTTGATCCCAGATGGTATAGGGAACTAAAGATTAACCAATGAACTAGTAACTAAAGCTTTGTCTTGATAACAAGGAGAAATAAATGGGCTAGCTAACATTTAGCAACTTAGTGTAGCTAACTCATCATGCTGTCCAGAGTGTCATCATTAACCTGCATTTTTGTTGATACTGCATGAGAGATGGTTGTTGAAACTCTTGTTAAGATGTCCTTGTCTGTCAGCTTGGTATCTTGCTTCCTTTAGTGGCCCCTATAAAGGTACTGATTGGCTCCATTGGTTTTCCACTGAGGAAACCTTTATTCATGAAAGCAACACTAATCCATTTTGTATTGCTTGGCAAATTTTGAGGTGAAGCCTCTGGAAGTTTTGCAGCGTTCTGGGAAAAAGTCTTGAAACGTGTTGAAATCGCATTACCCACTAAGGGCTAATGATCTTCTTTAAGTTATTTATGTTTCTCATATGAACCTGGCACAATGTCTGGAGAATCAAGTCTGGACATTGTCTGGAGTTGCCCTGAATCTCGTTGTCTTTCCAGTTAAACATTTTCGTTGGCATCTTTGTGTAAATGACTCTTCTTCTTCACCCTTTGGTCTTTTTCTGCTCTCCCACCAGTTGCATGAAGAAATGTCATCAACATGCCCACTAGCTTGGTGTTAATTCTCTGGACAGTGACCTGCTCTGTTCGCACACACAGGCTTATTCGTACATTACAGGGATTTGTACTAGGGAGCCGGCAGGGCAGAGTCCATTTAATGTCCAGGCAAACTAATTTGAACATTTGTGTTCTCACATACTCTGGGTGATGTGTAGATAAGTTCGGGGGGTTGCATTTTGTGCCTGAAAAGGACTCGGGATAGAAACTGTTTTGTGTGAGTGTGCCTGCTGTTAGAGCAGCACTCGGGCTCTGCAGCGTTATGTAATCCCAGACCTTCCACTTCCCCTCTTCATAGTCGGTGGTTTTTGGCCGACATGCTTCTTAGCATGAGGGGGTGTTGGTTTCGACCAGTGGTTACAGCAGTTTTGACAGGGTTAAGTGGTTGACAGTTCCTGGTTTCAGTTGGATGTCTCATTGGAAATATTTTCTGAGCTTTTGTGTGTATGTGTGTGTGTGTGTGTGTGTGTGTGTTTTGCCAGCAGTCTATTGTATCATTATCAGCCAGAGAAATCTCATAGTATCTGCATGTCTCCTTTCAGGGTCTGCCTGCTGCAATTGCTTTAATGGATAGATGATGCAACTCTCCTTTCCTTGCTATACCAGGCAGCTGAGAGAGAGTGTGTGTCTTTTAGAGTGTGAGAGGGGGATGTCGCTGAATGAAGCTTAGCTTGGATGTTTGCACTGCAGGGTGGGAGGTTGCTAGGCAGTGTGTTTGTTTTATTTTTAGAGAGAATCACTGCTGGTGAACATAACAGATTCTCTTTCTCTCGCACTTACAGTAAGAGTCAAAAGTTTGGACACACCTTTTCATTCAGTGGTTTTCCTTTATTTCTGTTACGTTCTGCATTGTAGATTAGTGCCGACAGCTATAAAATAATACACATGGAATTATGTAGTAAGTAGAAACATTAAGGACTGCCCACTGACTATATAAAGATGGACAGCCTAGCAGCTCCCATAAAAATAAAGATGGACAGCCTGACAGCTCCCATAAATGAAGCCACCATGAGTCGATCGCCCCCTGGTGACTGGTTGTTGTATTTTTGGTAGAAATTATCACACTGATTTGTGTACTAGTGGACATTTTCCTGTTATGTAATGTATGTATGTAAGTTATGTAATGATATAAAAAGGGGTGTATTTTGGGTGATTTGACAGTTTGATTGTCAGCCTGATACTGCCACTAGTTGTAAACAGCCAAGATGGCAGCCACCATATTCACTATGTTTTGGCTTCAGTTTTGCATAGCGGAGGGAAGTGGTGATGTGTCATCCATCTTTTATATACAGTCTATGGGAGCACCCTGGGAGAGGAAGGTAATTAGAGCCCAAGAAATTGCCAATTAACAGATTAGAGCCCACATCAGTGCTTCCTAGAGTTCAAGTAGCAGACGCATCTCAACATCAACTGTTTGGAGGAGACAGCATGAAGCAGGCCTTCATGCTTGAGCTGCTGTGGAGAAACCACTACCGAGACCAATAACAAGAAGAGAATTTTTTGGGCCAAGTAGCACAAGAAATGGACAATAGGCCACTAAAAATCTTTTGTGGTCTGCTGTGAGTGGAATTAAGACTTGGTTCCAGCTGCCATGTCTTTGTGAAACGCAGAGAAGGTTGAACGGGTGGTATCTGCATGTGTGGTTCCCACTGTGAAGCATGGAGGAGGAGGTGTGATGGTGTCAGGATGCTTTGCTGATGACGCTGTTGGCAATTTATTCAGCATAATAATTAACCAGCGTGACTTCCACAACTTTCTGCACATGAACATAAAGGCTACCTTTGAATTTCAGGTAAGCACTTGATAGAGGGAATTCTGTTCACATAATCCTGTATTAGGAAAGCAAGAGAAATATGAATGGCGTGGCCCACTGCCCCACCCTAGACATGAAACTTAAACCAGCCCGGTGTATTTATAGAGCGCGTTTTCTCACACATAGATGTCACGGCACACATGCGCAGAGGAGACACAAACACATACACATTCCTCTGAAACCAGCTCACTCCTTGCGTGTACCAGCCTTTTTTAGGCACATTCCTGTCCTGTCATGTGTGTGTGCTCATGTGGGAGGTAATGCAGAGCAAGAAATCAATAAGTACTCAGAGTGCTTTTGATTTTTATCACTTTTTATTGATTTCAAGATCTCAAGAGTGCTACTACCATACCTAAGCAATACATACTGTGAAGTAGCGCCATACTGCAGCAGATGCTGACATTTAGAGCCAAACTGACTGGTAAAACATAGTGTAGGTAAAAATACCACATATATAGCATTGAGCTTTTACAGACCAGTATAAGGACCAAGTGCAGTTGCTAGTCATTGTGCAAAATGTTATGCAAAATGACCAAAATAATAGAAACATTAAAAAAAAACAGAACTATGGCAAAGACGAGAGCTTCAACCATAGCTCCAATCGGGTGTTTTACTGCTGATACTGATAACTGATTTGATGCAGACTACTTATTATATACATTTTACAAACATTCCCTCATTTTGAGTTGATGCAAAAGCCACTGCCTTGCATTGAAGTGATACCCAGTGGCTTGTGTTGGTGTCTGTTTAGTCTTCAGACTCATGGATCTGTTACTCAAACTGGACTTCCTGGATTGTACATGAACCAGCACACCCTGGCAGCATGGGCAAGGGCACACGCCTAAGCTCGATGCTCTCTGATCCCTCAGACGGCACTGCATCAAGAGTGGTCAATCTTTTATAAGCAATATAACCGCATGGACTCAGGATTGCTTTGGCACACCAATACATAGTTACATCCATAAATGCCACTTAAGACTGTACAGTGCCAAAAGGAAGCCCTATGTCAACAATGTCTAGAAGTGCAGCCTGCTCTGGGCCCGGAGCCATCTGGGACAGATCATCACACAGTGGAAATGTGTATTGTGGTCAGACGAATCAGTATTTCAGGTCTGAATAGTATTGCATGTGGTCTTGAGTTTTTGTAGGTCTGACAAAAGGAGCGAGTTTTATTTCATTCACATTTGTTTAAACACTGAACAGAAAAACTGCCTGTGCACTTAGTGCTTGCTTTTTGTTCTCATTTCTATCATCACATTAACAAGCTATTAAAAAAAAAAAAATCGGAGTGAGAACCTTTGCACACTGATATTGCCTATATTGTAATCATAGTCTGATTTTAATCCTGTATACATAATATTTACAGTACAGTAGTGTGTATAAAAGCGACTGAGTTGGTGAAGGATAGATGATTTCCTGTGCCCTTGTTGCTATAATGGCTGCATTTCTATATTTTCTTCTCTTTCCTTGAATTATCTCCAGCTATAGGCAGCAATGGGTGCATTCCTGGACAAGCCGAAGACAGAAAAACATAGCGCTCACGGTGAGGGCAATGGGCTGCGTTATGGCCTGAGCTCCATGCAGGGTTGGCGGGTCGAAATGGAGGACGCCCACACAGCTGTGGTGGGACTTCCCCATGGACTCGCCGACTGGTCCTTCTTTGCTGTCTACGATGGCCATGCGGGATCCCGGGTGGCCAACTATTGCTCTGGTCACCTGCTGGAGCACATCTTGTCAGGAGGGTCCGACTTCGGTTCAGGTCCTGGCTCTGTAGAGGGCGTGAAGGACGGCATCCGCTCAGGCTTCCTGAACATTGACGAGTACATGCGCAGCTTCACTGACCTGCGGCAAGGCCTGGACCGCAGCGGATCAACAGCCGTGTGTGTGTTGCTCAGCCCGACCCACCTCTACTTCATTAACTGCGGTGACTCACGGGCCGTGCTGAGTCGAGAGTGCAAGGTGGGCTTCTCCACCCAGGACCACAAGCCCTGCAACCCCCGTGAAAAGGAGCGCATCCAGAACGCAGGCGGCTCAGTCATGATCCAGAGGGTAAACGGCTCCCTGGCTGTGTCCCGGGCCCTGGGGGACTATGACTACAAATGTGTGGATGGTAAGGGCCCCACAGAGCAGCTGGTGAGCCCTGAGCCTGAGGTATGTGTGTTGGAGCGGGCGGCCGAAGGAGATGAATTTGTGGTGCTGGCATGTGATGGAATCTGGGACGTCATGTCCAACGAGGAGCTGTGCGAGTTCATCCACTCACGACTCCTGGTGTGTGATGACCTGGAGAAAGTCTGTAATGCAGTGGTGGACACCTGTCTGCATAAGGTAAGCTTCCCCCCCCCCCATATATTCACATGGACCGGAGGTGAAAGTGTATTCATTTACCTGCATTTCAACGTGTCTTTAGTGTTACAGCTACAGAACTGATTTTGTTTGCAGTTAAGATGACATGTTTGACAGATTACTGTGAAAGGGATCCTGCTGGTTTTCAATTATATGTTGGTGGTAATCATTTGAATTTGGAAAGTAAATCTATTCGGTTTAAAATTGGATTTACTTGTGCATGTTTTTGAATATTAATGAAGACACTCCCATTTGCTCAGTTGTCTTGGTTACTGCAGTACAAAGGTAATATCTTTGCTTTGATGAAATTCTTCATAAGGTTGAATTAGGTTTTAGCACCATTTGGTTTGCATCAGTGCTGATTCAGATCTCGCTTCTGATTTTCTGCATTTCTTATCAGATCTTGCCTCTAATTGTAGAACTGAGAAAAATTTAAATATTTCAACAAACAGAAAACTACCTGCATTGTTCTCATTAACAGCATGGAGCCCATATACAGAATATACAGAACAGTTATAGACAGCTGCATCACACTGTAAAAGATGTTTGTTTACTAAAACAACACAGAAGGGGCCTGTACCACAAAGCGAGATTAGCGGCTTATCCAGCTATTTTTGGGCTTCAGGTTTTCCGGTACCACAAAGCTGGCTCACTTTTAATCAGGCTAGGTCACCACGGTAACTTATGCTGCAAATAGATATTTTATAGAGCTTTCCATGGGTCACTCTGGTTTTCAACAGTTTCTAACAAACAGTTTACAGCCTATGTGATGATCAAGGTTGTATTTTAAATGCACAGAGATGATTTGATTCCCGATTGAATTTCTGACTGTGTTGATGCTTCTACATGCTTCCTTCACTGCAGCTCAGAATAACATGAGGAGACTTTAAATAATTCATACACTGTTAAATATTTCTCATGACTATAAATGAACGTATGCCTTCAGGTGCAACTCCTCTCCATAGTTTCTGCTCTGGCAGCAGAAACTGTTGGACATTATTTTTACTAACACATTTTCAGTCATTTCTTTATCATCAGACAAAAGCGAATACTCATTCAGTAACACTTACAGTAATATTTTGCAAATTTCTTTACTATTTGAAAGTTATTTCTAGTGCGGACTGCTTCTTATTCTATTCTAGTTATGTGACCACAGCCTATTGTTCAGTTAACTTGCTGTAATATCACTTTTTACTTTGGCTATAAACAATTTTTCCTAAAGGTATCACTGTTGCATCTGATATCCCTTCCAATGAACAACTCCACCTCTTTTCCATGGACACACTCGTAGCCATATAGGAAAGCGCAGACTTAACAGAGCCAGTCGATAGCCAGCTTTGTGGTCCCTGTAATCCAGGATACTCAGTGTTGGTGAAGCCAGATAACCCCACGTTAGCCAGACTAAGTTGAACTCGCCTCATGGTACAGTTGATATTTATCAGATAATGAATAATGAATTTTTGCTTTCAGATCAATCCCCCACTCTCCACTGGCCTTTTCAGCTATTGATCCAAGATATAGAAAGAATCGCTCTTTGTCTTAGCTGACCTCCTCCACCAGTACACATCTTAGACTTCTGCCCACCATGTTTTTTTGTGCACAGCATCCTTGTTATTTTTACTTTAGTGGCTGGGTTATCTCAAATAACCGCTACACCCTGTCATAAATCTCCTCTGCTGCCACTGCCTTTTGTGATGTGTGTGACACTGTACTCCTACAGAAGGTTACTCTAACCACTCTGACTTTTGCAAGGCAATGACAAGGAGATAATCTTTTCTGTAACTGTGTCTGATAAAAGCCCATTAATATGCTGTCCAGTGTTTTGACAGTGGCCTTCAGCTGCAGGTTCTGCTCTTAATCGGTGGTGATTAGTTAGTCAACATAGAAGCAGTTGATAAGAATATGAACAAATAAAAAGGGATGTATGGGACCTAATCTAACCTTCTGTAGAAGTTGCCATGTTTTTCACTTCCTTAAAGGATTAGCGGAGTGACAAAAGTAATTGGTAGCTGTTTTGATAATCAATCATTTTAGCTATTTTTAAGCACAGATTATAAATATCTCTAAGTTTCAAATGTGAGGATTTTTTGCCTTTCTTACATGACACTAAATTGAATATCTTTAGGCTTTTGATTGTCAGACAACACGTTCATGTTTCAAACCAATATAGCTTGTGTACTACAGAGATGCCACTTTTCTCTGTGTTCGGTTTCTTCCTGGCCTTGTCCTGCAGGGAAGCAGGGACAACATGAGTGTGGTGCTGGTGTGTTTACCTGGAGCTCCCAAGATCTCAGAGGAGGCTGTGAAGAAAGAAGAGGAACTGGATAAATACCTGGAGACCCGTGTTGAGGGTCAGCACACTAAACACGTGTACACGCATACATACAAACACAATGGACCGATGGTTTGCATTTTACATGATGCTGAGCAGGACACAGTTGCCTGAATGTAAAATTAGAATCACAACGTAGTTTGATACTTGCTCATTGTTTTTCCGGCTATTACATCAGTCAGTTAACTGTCTCATGATGTATTTCAGACTTTGTGCATTATTATAACTTGTGGTTAAACATCTACTGTTCTTTCAACCCAGTAGTCTTTTGCTGTGTCTTTCAAAAATGTTTTTAAAAAGGTTAAGTGAAACACATGGCCACATACTGTGCTTCATGTCCATAACTGGGACAAAATAAATAATTTGTAGGCCAAATATTTGACATCATTCTGCTGCAAAGTGTAGCAGGAGACCACAAATGGACAGTACAGGTGTGTTTCATTATTTCTCAGCCTCTGCTGTGAAGAGTGGTAGTTTAACACCTTCAACTTGGTGTATAATGTACTGTATCATTGCTCTTGTTGGTGTGTGTAGAGCTACTGGGAAACTGTGGGGAGTCAGGAGTCCCCGACCTGGTGTCTGTCCTGAGGAGCATTGCCGCAGAGAGTATCCCCAACCTTCCGCCTGGTGGAGGCCTGGCCAGCAAGTAAATACACATCTAGGAACAACATTTAACTGCATGTTACACACCTCAAACATACAGTAAAATGTTACTATGCTTGACTATACACATGCATTACCTTGTTATGGTAAAATTCTGAATTCATTATCTAGATACTTCATTGTAATAAACAAGTTGTATGCTCCACAAGGCAGCAATAATAACTTTTCATCACACTTTTCTTAAAGCTACTTTACCTAATTTCTATTCAGCCCAGGGGGCTTAGTGAGGCTCAAAACAAATTGACACTGTAAGCTGCTACTGACTGCCCTATGCCCCCTCCTACCATGTTGCTAGTTTCCTAGCAACTATGTAAACTACAGGTGCCTGGTTCTGGCAAACTCCCGTCCAAAGTTAGGATTAGCTGACAAGTAAATTTGTCCAGTAGAGCTCTCTGGTTACTGCTAATGTGACACAAAGCACTAGCATTACACAAAGCTCAAGTTATTGCCAAGTTAAAATTATGTTCATTCAAACAAGTGACAACAAGTCCTCCATGGCTGGCTGTTTGAAATGACTACTTGTTAGTCGCGATATAAGAAGTGGGGCAACCGGTTAAAAAAATCCCCTTTTTTTAATGAGGCTTTTGCGTCTGATGCTTAAATGTTCTTTGCTATCCCATAGAGGCAGTTACATGCTATTTATAATTTTGTATAGAATGTTTTAGGTGTTTTAATTTTGCTAGTTCTTACTGTACAGCACTTTGTGCTCAGATGAGTTGTAAAGTGCTTTATAAATAAAGGTTGTTATTATTATTATTATTATTTGAAAAATGCTTCTTATAGACCTTGGCTAGGTGGCAGGTGGGGGTAATTTGCTGACATCAGAAGGTAGAGAAGCTGGAATAACAGAGGGGCTTGTAGGCAGCAGAGTGTCATGGAGGTGAGTAGCAGCGAGTGCTAAAACCCAGAACTGAGTCAGCAGTTTTGCACTTCTGGCTCCCTCGCTGTGAAGTCTAAGTGTTATAAACCGTTGTTTGTCACTGAGCTTATTTTTCTGCAATAATTCACAAGCCTGTGGGGAAAAACCCTTTGGCTTTTTGTCGAGGGAACCAGGGTGATGCTAACTTCCAGACTGACCTAAAACAATATATAATCCCTATGGCACTCTGTAGCTGAGAGACATCATGCCCTGTCCCATTTTCACCTGATTTATCAGACGGTGTATAAAATCTTTATTAATGCACCTTTAAATAAAAGGCGGAAAACTGGCAACACTGTACTGGCCACATGTGTACAGACTTGCAATCTAAACCTGCAGATAACCATCCATCCATTTTCTCCCACTTATCTGAGGTTGGGACACAGGGCAGCTGCTGCAGATAACACTCATCAAGACACTTAAATGTACAGTATATATGATTTAAAGAGGTTCTGTAATGTCTTTATGCATGAATGGCGGATGCTCCAGTATCGACACTGTTGTTTTTAGGTCCATTATAATCTCAATCAATATAGACAGGATGAAGAGAGACTGTTTTAGGAGACTGTATTATGTTGGGAGTTGTTGTCCTCTTTAAGCAGTGGGCTGCGTGCTGTTTGTGTGTTTGCAGACGGAGTGTTATTGAGGCGGTGTACAACAGGCTGAACCCACACAGAGAAGAGGAAGGGGTGAGTTGATCTCTCTCAAAGCCCCTCACCTCCTCAGCCTTTCAACCCCCTCACCATACCCTCATAAACTCACATCAGCCCAGACAACATAGTCTTTTGTTTGTTATGTGTGACAATGAGAGAAAATGAGTGTGAAAGATGGACTACGCAGAATAACCTCTGCAAGCATAATGAAACTCAACTGTGTTTCATACTGAAAGGCATTGAAACTCTTTGTGGTCAGTTTCAGTTTTGTATTTATCATCGAAACAGGATAATACAGTAAGACCTTGATAAACCTCTCAAACTCCTCAGCATTGAGTTCTTTAAACCTGCAATTACATAATGTTTACTGCTTCATGAGCCTGGATTAAAAAACATCTGAATTTGATGCCCGGAAGCTCATCAGCTGTAAATCAATCAAATAAAGTGACCAAAACCATACAGCACCTGTGTACAATTAATAGCATTTCTAAAAGGCGTTAAAAATATTGAGATGAAACTGATCAACTGTGAATAGCCGTAGCTTCAGTGTATTGTGCCAGAACAACAAATGAACTGCTACAGTGTTGGTTTATTGGATACTTGATTACCCCCTTAGCTTCCAGCCAAGGAAATTAGTTGTCCTGGGGGTCCAGTTAGAACATAAATAAAACATTTTCATCCTTTCAGATGCGCAAAATAACCACAACTAAAAACAGAGACTACTAACACAATTAAGATTAATATTGTATTACTTCCATGGTTTATATTGAGATCATAAAATTTAGGTAGACCTCGTCATTGCCAGATTTATAAAAGGACAAAAGGAAATCATTAAATTCAGAAAAGTGAGAACATTTCCAAAACCCTAAACGTGCCCAAATAAAAGCTTTTTTTGGCATGAAAAATGAAAAAGATGGAACAGTTTAATTTTGAGGGACAAGTTGCACAAGGTGGATACCAGGAGGCGGATTAAAAATAACACGATTATACAGTTGGGTGAGAAGTTAAAGGAAAACCCTGAATAAATAAGTGGTCTCTTCCGGGATGTCAGTGCCCTCATCCATAGTACATGAGGAGTCACTGAATGGTTTGAGAATGATCTGAACCATATGCTATGGCCCTTGAAATCACCAGATCTCAACCCAATTAAACATCAATGGGAGATTTTGCACCGACATGATAGACAGATTTCATTATCAAAACATCAAATGAGGGAATATCTTTTGGAAGAATGGTGTTCGAGGCCAAGGTGTACTGAAGTTGTTCTGGTGGCACATGGTGGCCCGCACCTTACTAAGACACTTTATTGTTCTCTTTTCATCTGTCACCCGTCTGTAGATCATGTTTCCCAAAACTTAAAGTATATACAGCTACAGGCAATATAACATAGTGCAGTCCACTGAAAAAAATACAGTTGGTAATCTCAACTTTAGACTCATAATGGAGAAATTCATATTCCACTGGAGGCAATTCAGATGTAGAAGAGATCTTAAATGTTTAGCTATCAAAGCTACAAGAACTTAACAAATATTCTGAGTCCTAAACAGCCTGCAGGGATGGAAGTGTGTGTGTATATGAGTTTATTTGTCATAAGAATGTCATTCGAGTCTTGACTTGCCGACTCTTTTCTCTGGGCTGTGTGGGAGCTGACCAACCCCCCACCTCTGTTACACCATACAGCGAATATCACAAAGGGTTGTTGGTCACAGGGTCAGAGGTTGCGTTTGCATGGGCCAGTCCAACTGGTGCAAGAATATGTCTGACATTGTCACGCTAGTGTGTAGTAGATATTTGTGTGACAATGATATGCTGCTGCCTGATAGATGTGTGTGTTTGACCATGGAGTGTGCCTGCTGAGTCTGACCCCTGGCGTGTCACCTCAGGCCTGTGCGGGGGGAGAGGAGGAGAGTGAGGAGGGAGGTGGCAGCGCGGCGGCTCATCTGCTGGAGGCTCTGCGGCAGTTCCGCCTGCACCACCGGGGACAGTACCGCGCTGTGCTGGAGGAGTCGCTGGCCACCTGCTGGGGGGAGAGCGCTTCCAAGGGAGCGGAGGAGAACAGGAGGACCTCCGGCGACAGCAACAGCGAGGAGCAGGATCTGCTCCTCTTTCGCTCATCACGGAACTTGAATGGACACGTCAGCCATTTCCGGCTCAGTGCTGTTCATCAGTATTTTAATAATTCAAAAAATTACTGTTTATTCAAGTTCTGTCTGCTAAACCTTCCATCTATTGAGGACTCTCTCTCTCTTTTTTTTTATTTTTTTTTAATTTCCCCTGGTCCACCTTGGCTTGGGCCCCCCCAGACTTGCCAGCCACTTTTGGAACCGCACAGATTGATGTTTACAGTAGAAAAGAATCAATAACAACTTATCATTAGAGACAAAAGTGGCTTGTGAAGCAAACATAAACGTTGCACCCCATGGCCTAACATTTACCACTATTGGCTTCTGGCTGGGTTCCCCACTGAGCGCCCACCCCCTCCTCATCCTCACCCCCACTCCTGTTTATAGTGGATGAACTGACAAAAGGAGTGGAGACTCTCTGAACTGCAGAGGTCTGCTCTGTCTCTAGATCCAGAAAACACTCTTTTTATGTGTGTGTCTGCGTGAGTTTGAGTGACCGAGCGATCGACCAGTCATGACTACTGAAATGTGTGTTTTTGGTAGTGGGTGATAACTTGAGTGTTAGTCCATTTATCAGGATGTTCAGCAGTGTTAGGTTGTTTTAAGCAGTCTGGGTAATGAAAAACTGGACAGTGTGTAAATACACAGGGATGCTTCATTTGTTTTTGGATGTTTAGGAGGATGTGAATGGGCAATACATATTGAGCCAAAGTGGCCATACATATATTTAGATGAAATGAGACAAAAAGTAGCCACCCTAATGATCCTATGAGACTAATGCTCTTTACACGCCAGGACAAAAAATTGGATGAACAATGGAGAGAAACCTTCAGAAGTGTGGAGAATGATGACACCAGATCAAAGTTCACAGTTTGCAAAGTCAGAAAGTCTATTCTTTGTTTTTCTGAAACATACAGTATCTCTTGCACTGTGTTGTGTGACTGGGCTTAACGTTTGTCTAAGCTGTTGGTGTGGGAGACGTTGATGGAACGTTCCACAGAAAAGCTGAGGGAAGTGGCTGTGTGCTGCTATTTAACGGAGGAGGGTTGGTCACCCAGATGTGCGATTGCCAAAACGACCTGTATGTCTTCATCCTTTAAGTCTTTTTTTTTTTTCCTAGTATAATCAAAAATACAGAAGGCATTTTCTATAAAGCATAAATCTGATCTTTGTGTCAATGTCAATGTTCATTTTTGAGTTTATATTTGGCTCATTGTTTCCTCTGGTGACTGTGGAAAAACACTCAACTATTAAGTAACAGTGGGTGTTTTTCACCCTCCGTCCTCAGGGGAGCAGCAATAAGCCCATTAATGTTTGGCACAAAGAAAACAGCACTAGGAAACTTGCTTGGACGAGTCATAGGGGAGATTTATACTTTAGCAATAGATTTTAACACTATTTCAGTTTTACAAGACGTAAGGGATGAGACTAACTGGTTGGTTTGGAAAATATACATCTAGTTAACCACCCCGCCTCGATTAAAGTGCAGCACAAACCTACTCTTGTCAGTATTTGAATGGAGCAATCAAGAGCGAGTCCCAAACAGAGCTGCCGTGAGCATATCAAAATATTAATTTGCTAAAGTTGGCATGTTAAAATACCTACATGTTTTAACATCAGTTAGATTTTAAAGCTAATGAACACTTGTTAGCTTGTTAATGTCACTGTTGAGAGCTCAATAGTAATGTCAGCACTGGCAACATGCTAATGCTGGCATTCATTTCAAAGCTTTAGTGCAGTTTTTCTGACAAAATACATCGGACAACAGGCTGCTGATCTGAACCTGACAATGCAGCGACCTTTTAAAAAAGTCACTAGATCTTTCTGTATCAGTATGGCCTTTCTTCAGGCTAAGAACTGGTTATAACTTAAATGTCAGACAAGTTCAAAAGTTGACCTAGTGATGCTAGATGAGGAACTGGCACCACACATTTCCTCCAAATATCACTCTAAACAGCAATTTCTCTGTTGACTAAAGTGTTGAACCACTGTTACATCCCTGATGTCACACTGACAGTAAAACTTGCTGACAGTATCAGCCTTAAACACCTGGTTTACACCTGGACAACAGGCAGCAGGTTTCATTCCTCACAGGTTCTGACACAATCTCTAGCTCATACCTCATTGTGAAAGTTTGTTTCGAACAGATTCAATGTCTGTTCTTCTCTGAAAGCAGGTAAAGGGAGGTGATTGTGAGTCTAATGCATGCACTGCACTTATCTTTATCTAAGGCACTTACAGTAACTATCAGAGGGGAGTTTATGCTAAATACTGTGTGTGTGGGTTTGTATGCAGTTGTGTGGGACAAATGAGCCCCACACAGTTTAAACATAATAAATGAATAAAATGATTTGAGGTATAACGCTGTAGTTTGTCAAGTGTATGAGTGTCTCTCACTGTAAACTAATTGTGCAGCTTCTTGTCTTTTGGTCTTGTACTAAATGAGCCTCCTTGCAAACGCGTACTGTGGATCAGGGCTGTGATTACAAAAGCCACATTTTTCTGTCATTTCTAGAGGAGTGTTTTGGTGTCCTTAAAATATTTCATGTGTTGTATAGTTGTCTGTGTAGGCTGTCAAGTGTCTGCAAACAGAAAATAGATCCTCACCTTCCTTGCGCTCCTCTGTCAGCTTTTAGCTCTGGTCTAGACTTGTAGTCTTATCTCGGCTGCTTAAAACATTTTAATTTGTCGTCTCCTTAAAAACAATAGAAGCTCTCCGGTTTGAAACTGTCAAACAAAATAAACATCTTCCACTGGTTTACACTGGTGGTGATGAGCATGAGGGGAGCGGTAGACTATAGGCACTCCACCCTCCATCCTTCCCCTGTTGTTCCCCAGTCTGACAGTTGGCCTCATGATTCTCCGCAAGGTGAGTCATCAGAGGTCTGTATTCGGCTTGTGTGAACGTACACGCTGCACAGGGGGATCTCACTGTTTTCCACCATTTTTCATTCATTTTGATTAGATAAAAGATGAGAGTGAGGGTCAGAGCTTCCCATTATTTAAAGCATGAGCAGCTGTCTTAACTTCTCTGAGTGCAGTGAAATATCCAGCAACAAAGAATGCTAACACACACCCCATCTGTTTTCTTTTTTTCTTTTTTTTTATCACCCAGAGTGCCGGTGAGCTGGAGGACCCCTGGTAGCCAAGGCAACGACCCCACCGTCTCCTCCTGGTGATGGGTGAATCTGCCCAGAGGAGGAAGTTCTCTCCATTGCGCCATGTCTTTCTCCACTAAAAGAGGACAAGTGGTGTGTGTTGGAGCGTGTGTGTATGTTGGTTGTGTGTGTGTGTGTGTGTTTGCAGCAGTGGGACAAAGATGACAATGATACAGCTACATGCACACATACACATACTGCTTTAAACCTGGAGGAAAAACAAATATTCCGGATTTTCAAGATTTTATGAACTGATTGTGATGGTAGAGATGTTTGTTTTGTTTTTTTACCATTAAGATGTTTTTTTTTAATTTCTTTTCTTGAATATTGACATCGAACACCTAACTTCACAGTGACATGAGGACCTATAATGTATGTGTGTGCGTGTGTGTGTGTGTGTGTGTGTGTGTGTGTGTGTGAGGGTTGAATTTGTGTGTTTCGAGGAGGGCCAATTCTTCTCCATGGACTTTTTTTTGTGCTCCTGGCTTTGATAATTGCCTAACACCCATCCTTCTCCCCTCTGTAAAACACACACACACACACCGACACACCAAAACCATAAACACCCCCACTTCCACCTGTGCACGTATGTGATGTGCCACGTTTGCAGGGCACTGCATGAGGACTTTAGTTCTACATTTTCTAGTTGACACGGGTGGACAGCCATTGCTTAAGATTGACTGAACCTTAAGGACTTCTGGACTCTGATTGGCTCCTGCCTTGTGAGAAGTGGAAATGATTTGGATTTTTTTCCCCCCTGCTGATGCTGTGGGTGGTGGTGATGATAATCATGATGGGGAAATGGGAAGTTGTCAGTTCACTGAAGAGCTGAGTGGAAGTGGGGTGGGAGGTGGAGGGCTGTTCTATCACTGGTTGGGCTTCCTGCAGGAGGGTTAGGCCAAGAGGAAGTGGGTCACACGGGCTTACCAATTCCCTCCCCACCACTACGGTTGGAGGTCTCCGTGACGGTGGACTGTCCTGACAGTGGGAAGTTTTTTGTTTGTTTGTTTATTTTATTTTAATGTTATCCATGAGGTTACTAGCTGCTCGCTGCATAGAGTGAGTGAACCCCGAGTTTTAACCCTGTTCCTGGTTCTCAGACTGCATTGGTAATGTTTGTATTGCTGTTGTTTGATTGCACTCACATTTGATTACAGAAAGCGTCTATATATGAAATAAAATACCTGCCAAGGACCCAGTGGTGGCTGAGTATTTTAATAAGAGAAATCGTCATGTTTGCATGTTTATGTATGTCTGTGTGGCTTTGTGTAGGCTGTTGTCTTCTGTGCAGACACTGGCTGATGTTTAGACCACATTTTCACTTTCAGAACAGATGTAAAAACATGACTAAGCTGTGTTATTTACAAAACTGCAGCCTACATGATTTCCATTATCCTTTCTTTCCTGTTTATGTTTTCTTTTGCTGGACAATGTGACTTTATCAATCACAGTAGTAAACAGAGTCCATGTTTCTCAGAGGATGAAAATTGCTAATTTGTGATATACAATTTTTTCCTCTTGTGCCACCTTGAATTTCATTTCATTTTGTTTATTTAATTAATTTGACAGGGCCAGTGCTCATTAATCAACAGGAAACCGAAGGAAACTGTAAATAAGCCAGTTAGTCAACAAGGCTGATTTTCCTCCATTGTCCCTGTTAACATTTGATTGGTTTGGTTTTCAACAGCTATTTGATGGATTTGCATGAGATTTTTTGATGGTCCCCAGGAGATGAAGCACCTTGGTGATCTCTAACTGTTCCTCTAGTGCCACCATGAGGTTGATATTTGTGTTTTGTAGTGAAATATCTCAACTGTTGAAGGGACTGCCATGAATGTTGGTGCAGAAACCCACAGTAACCCCTCAAGTTTATCAGGTCAGAATCTTTTATTTTTTCAATGTTTTGGTTTCTGGCCAAATACAAATGAATGACATTCCCACCAGTCACAGTTTGTGCTGATTAGCAAATGTTAGCATGCTAACACGCTAAACTAAGGTGATGAACATGGCAAATAAGATAAACAAAAGCTTGTATATGTGTCTGCAGATGTTATCGCCCAGATGTTAGCACTGAAGCACATCGTTGCAGAGTTGCCGTGAAGGCTGATGGCTCCTGTTTACTCTTTCCTCTATCCTCTTTTCATTTTCCATCTTTCTCATTTGAATTGATAGCAGCTTCTGTGAAAGCTTCAGAGCTTCTCAGTCAATGACCTATAACCTGGAACTGTTACAAACGCTGCAGCTCTTTCATGAATTCCATTTTCAGGGCATATATATACTTGGCACACATATCCTTTTACTGTGTTGCACTGTTTATATCTTTCTATTTCATCGTTTTTGTGGCTGTATAGGCATTGTGTTTATTCATTCCTCCCCTGGAAGGGCAGTGAAGGTGTTCAGTATCTGTGGTTGTTATGCTCTCCACATCTCAAGGTCAGCTGAACTGACTGACCCTGACACGCTGGACAACACGGAGCAATAGAAAAACCAACTGCTGAAATGCTTTGTTAGCAGGGTAGATGATGCTAGCAGTGCGACTCTTTCTCCTCGCTCACGATCTCATTCTCTTCTGTTTTTCTTATGCTCCTGTGTTTTCATTTGAGCCGTTCTTCTTCCACCCACTCGTCTTTTGACGGTGAAGGATTTTCTTCTTGTGACTGTAACCTTGGCCAAAAGAAGTTGCAACTAGGCGACTTTGCGGGCAGCACATTTCAAACAAAACACCTCTCGTCTGAATTGATTTCACCTCAAAGGAGTGCAATTTTCATACACGATGAAATATAATATAGTGATGGCTCCCTGCAATCTGTGTGTGTGTGTGTGTGTGTGTGTAGTTGTGTATCTCAGCATATGATTTTGAGTGGAGTAATTTAGTAGATGAGCAGGGTGGCCATTGTTAGAGGGATAATCTGGCTCTTGCTGCTCAGATAGGTTAACATGCAGCAGATTAGACCAGATTACCCTCAGGCACACCAGACAGGACAAGGCTAAAACACATATTGCAACACACTTGTCCACATATTCACCAAATAAACCAAACAGACATACAGCATGAATTATTGAAACTCAAACTATAGTAAATAAAACAAGCTACAGTATAAACCACATCTAAAATACATGTTATGCATAAAATTGAAGTGTGTTGTTGAGTAAAAATACCAAAAGGTAGAACAAATCCATGTAGGCCAGATCCAGAGCGCTGCTAATGCGTTTTCAAGCTTATGCAGAAGATCTAAATTTAAAGGGAGTCAATCAGCAAAACTTTCAACACAAAATTATTACACTGTCATTGTCTACAACAAAACATCCACTTCATAGTACAGGATCATAGAAAAGACATCCGAATAAATATAAATAAATCGGTTAATGAATCTAGGGAATGTGTATAAACCTATATTGTTGTATAAATTACATACTGTATATTTTACATTTTAATAAGACCTGCATATAAAATTATTTAAAGAAACTGAAGAAGAGGACAGACGTCAAAGGACAACCTATAGTTTAGTCACTGATGTGCTCTGTCATGTTCTTTTATTTGTTTGCAACACTTAGAATTTGTCATACTGACATGACTGCTACACGTATTGCTTTTGTGCACATTTACATGTGCATATGCAATATTTTTGTACTCATTAATTCAGTAATTGTTACTTGGATGATGTCTTAATCCTGATCACCACGAAAGTGGGGCATCTTTTTGACAAGGCATGAAAACTAATTTCATGTATTGATTCACTAAATACATGCAGTAATACTGTCTGAACCCTCGTCTTACTTCCTAGATTATATTTTTAAAAATAAGGTTAAAAGGTGTATTCATTTTATTTCTCTTCCAGATTTATTACAGATCCATGATTGACACAGTTTGAAAAATATCAAATCAAATTTGGAGGTGAATCAGCAAAAGTGTACTCCGCCCACGTGTTACTTTAACAGCAAAATACCCTGCAGTACTATCTCCAGATTAATTACATTATTTTTTTCTGACTGATTCTATTTATTTCCTTTTCTGTGACAGTGTTTCCTTTTTTTTTAAGACTGAATTTGTATAGTTGGAGTGTGTTAATGTATTAGCTGTGTCTCTGGGTGCTGTATGCACGTGTCTACCTTGGGAAAAACTGACAGCCAGATGTTTGTATTTTTTGCCACTGTTTGTTTGTTTGGCTGCTGTTGTGTTTGTCTCATTCAAGCTATTGATTAAAAACACCCCCAGTGGTGACATGACACTAACACACAGGATAATGATGTAATTACTGCCTTTACATTAGGCCCAGCTGGCCTAATCTACAGTTGAGTGCAGTCCTACCTAGAAAGAAGTGTAAAATACATCAAATGATGTGATTATTTTGGCCATTCAGCCATGTTTGGGCTTTAATGCTTGTGTCAGCCTGCTGTCATGTGTAGGTGCTTGTTTGCTTGCAAATGCATGTGCACATCACATGGATGTTTGTGCAGTGAAGTTATTTTCTGCAAAAACTTCTGTTCTCCAGCTGTTTCAGCAATCACACAGCTGGACCAACACTGCACCGCCTGGATTAACTGCAAGGTATTGTGTTGCAAATCAGCCACGCTGCAGGATTAGTAGCTCAAGTAGAGTTACCTGTCCTCCTCAGTTTTCTGTGGTGTGGTCAAATGGTGACCACACACAATGTACCACAATGTACCACATCCATCTGTTCACGTCAGCTAATATTTCGTTTAAAAAAAAGTAGGCGCTACATCTCCATTTCAAGTTCCCAGAGTCCAGGGGGACATCATAAACTTGCATGTTTTGTTTGTCCACTCAAAGAACCCATGACGTCCAGTTCACTTGCATAACACAGAGAAAAGCAGCAAACAATTATATTTGAGAGGCTGGACCCAGCCTTTTTCCTTCATTAATGACTTAAAGGAAAATGCTTTTACATATTTTTGGAAATACACTTTCACTTTCTTGTTGACAGTTACATGAGAAGATTGATCCCACTCTCACGTCTGTGCTCTAAATATTTACTACATCCATGATTAGTGAAGTATCTCCACTGGAAGCAGGGTGAAACAACTACCCTGGCTCTTTCCCACATATAACCCCCGACATTTTAACACTTAGTTTTTTGTGCAGATCAAATAAATAAATAAGATATAGTATCTTAATTAGTGAGCTGCTAGTTGGTCATTTTTGTTACCTTTAGATACAGCCAGCCTAGCAGTTCTCCCCCGTTTCCACTCTACATGCTATGCTAAGCTAAGCTAACTGCTGGCTGTAGCTTCATATTTAACAAACCTATAAGAGTGGTGTCAGTTTTCTCACCCAACTCTAGGCAAGAAAGCAAGTGTAATATTTCCCAAAGTCTCAAACTATTCTCTTGAAGATTTCATTGATCACAGAGATGGTTGATTTCATCTATAGCAACCAACTAATAATAGATTAAGCTATTGAACACTCATTAAATGACACTCTGACAGTTTGGGGTCAGGCGGGTATGTAGAAAAAGCATTGTCCTCCTTTCTTCACATCCTAATTTTCATTCATCTCAGTCTTCCACACTTTACCTCCCTCGTTCCTTTTTCTATATACCATTGTGCGCCATGCTCTCCTGGTACCCCATAAGAGCACAAAAGCACAACAAAGGCCCAGGAAGTGATTAGTGACTTAACGAGGAGGAGGTTTACAGAGGCTGTATGGCCTCTTCCATGACATGGGACGAAGAGGTTAAAATTCTGGGGCTCAAGAGGTCAGTGTTAAGTTGTGGAGGTCAGTGGAGAGGTTAATTAGGAGCAGGGCTTTTGTTTATACGGGATAAGAAGATGCAGTGGCGATTCACTTCCTCGTTGTGTCCTTCCAGCTGCCCTGGAGGTGTCATCCACCTTCTTTTACCCAGCTCTGCTTTCCCTCCTCCTCCCTGGTAATTGTTTGGACACTGAAAGGAGATGTAGCTGAATTAAGTGTCACCACTACAACACACTTCACCACCACAACACACACACACC